CAATTCTTAAATCTCTCAAACCAACCTTTGCTGGCCTTAAATTTGCCAATATGAGCACTAGTTCCAGGTATTTTTCCTGTTCACCTGGGTGTTAGTTGACTGGTGGGGAACAAGATTAAGAACCCCAATGGAAATAACTTAGACAGTCCTCGATGACACACTGACTTTCTTGGGTAATCCTGGGTGGCTAACCCTCTAGGGTTAGTTGTTTCTCGGTAATTGTTTCTCGTTAAGCCACACCAACAACACTCTCTCCAAATCTTCGAGTAGTACAGCTGACGGTGGTGCTGCAACAGCTGATGGTGGTGCAGCAGCAGCTCACAGTGGTGCAGCAGCAGCTGATCATGGTACAGCAGCAGCTGATCATGGTACAGCAGCAGCTGAGGGTTGTGCAGTAGCAGCTGATGGTGGTATAACAGCAGCTGATGGTAGAACAGGAGCAGCTGATGGTGGTGTGGCAACAGCAGCAGCTGACGGTGGTGCAGCAACAGCAGCAGCCAACCGTGGTACAACAGCAGCTGACGGTGGTGCAGCAACAGCAGCAGCCAACCGTGGTACAACAGCAGCTGACGGTGGCGCAGCAACAGCTGACCATGGTACGATAGTGCAGTGGACCCTTGACCAACGATATTAATCCATTCCAGAGAGCTGATCTTTAGGTGAATTTATCGTCAGCAAATTTTTTTTTCCCTAAGAAATAAGGGAAACCCAATTAATCCATCCAGACAGCCAAAAGTTTAATTTTTTTTTTTTTTTTTTTCCCTACAGAGAAAACAATGAGACATGCATAATAACTACATAAATGTTAAAATGACACTTACCTTTACTGAAGAGTATTGATGAGTGATGAACACTTTTTTTCTGAAAACTCTGGGATTTTCGGTGAAAAAAATGATAAATGCTTCACTTTGCACCCCCACTACATTACTACAAAACATAAGAGTTAGCCTTTTTTCATAAGATTGTGCCCCTGGAGTCCCTTTTTTCCTCCTGATAATGTAGTCCTGTTTGTCATTTTTCTTCCAGAACAGGTCTGTTTTGTCACAACTGAACACTTTTTGGGGGGAATTTTCAGCTTCGCCATGCCCATCACCTGTGTATCCACTACAATCTTAAATCTATCAAACCAACCTTTGCTGGGCCCTTTAAAATTCAGCAAAATACACTATTCCAGGCATTTTTTTTCCTGTTTACCTGGGTGTTTTGTCGACGGGGTGGGGCGCATCCGGGGACAAGATTTAAACCCCTTGATGTCGAAACCCCAAACTAGAGGGGGCTCTCCTGTGCCCAAAATTTAAAAAAAAAAAAAAAACTTTTGAAAATTTTAGAGTCTTTTCCCCATGGAATGAACCCAAAAAAATGAAATTTGATGGAAAACTAATGGAATTAAACCCCTTTTCGAATTTAGCGACCTCGCAAATTTTCAAATTGGCGATTTGCTAAGACCCTATTTTGGCTAATTCCATTTTCCAGCGACCAAACTCAAGCTTTTCTTTATAACTCCATCTTCTATCGACTGAGTACAAAAAACTGCCCATTTACTGATTTCAGCTACCCAAAATGTGGGGCAAAATTTTTCAATTTGGCCAATTTCACGATAATAAAAAAATACATCAATTTCAAAAAAGGGTTCAGAATGAACAATGCTGACATTCCTGGCACTAAAATAACATTTTCTTTTTTCACATCCCCGTCTCCAGGCCCCTTGAAAAACCTTCCTTTTTTATTTGAATTTTTATTCAAACAAAAAAATAAAGATTTACTTTTATGCAGATACTGCAATATTGCAATAATTGTATAAAATGCAACCCATCATACTGCAGTAAGAATGGGAGGTGGACATTTTTTGGGCAATACATCATTTGTTTACTTTTAAACATCTGCAAAAAATCAAACTTTTCCCCCTACTTTGAGCTCCATTTCAAGGTTCTTTTCATAGAAAAACCAATCAAAATAACCTCACCTATGATTGTTTTCCATTTTTTCAAATGAGACCAAGAAAACAAAATACAACCAAAATACAAACGAAAAACACCAAAAATTTCAGCTTTTTAAAATCTAAAACAAAACGGTCGAGTTTTTTTTTTTCTCATTATGCATTTTTGTGCTGCGGATTTTTTTATATTGCACACTGACCAACGGGGCCCATTCACACACAGGGGAAGCTTACCATTTTCTCCTGCTCGATTTGAAGCGCTAAATTTTTGGTATACTCAAACATGGTGGCTCAAGACTACATGTATATATACGACCTACAGCAAGGGTTAAGGCCCCCCAATGGAAAAATCAGACAGTCTTGATGATGCACTGGCTTTCCCTTGGGTTACCTGGGGGGCTAACCCCTGAGGTTAATTTTTTCTCGTTAACCAAAACCAAAAAACACTCCTCCACATCTCAAGTAGTACAGCTAGGTGGTGGAGCACCCCATGGTGGTGCAGCAGCTCCCCGGGTATGAAATTTTTTTTCGATAGTATTTCTCACCCTTTTTACCATAAAGGGTTTACACGAAGCTTTCTTTGGCCAATTGGGGGGCTTTTTTAGCAGTTAAAAACACTAAAAAAAATGATAAAATACAAAATTGATCGAATTATCTGGAAACGTACGCCCTGGTTGTAAACAATGATGGCTGGGCAGCTGAGGTGCCGGCTTGACGGACAGGTTCGGGGCGAATCATGTTGGTCGGTTTTTTCCCTCGTTGGTCAGGGAAAAATTTTTATGCTCAAACACTTCTTTTGGGCAAATTTATTGTTTGATGTGCCTTTTTTTTGGGCCCAAAGGGGCCACGTATTTTCAATAGTATTTCTCACCCTTTTTACCCCAAGGTTGGCACTAGAATTTTCTTGGGCCCATGGTGGCTTTTTTACAGTTAAAAGACCCCAAAAAAATGGAATAAAACAAAATATATCGGGTTAACAAAACCCTGCCCGGCTGTAAACAATGGCACACTGGGGAAAGCAGGGCACTGAGGGACTCAGGCTGGCCGCAGGGGGGATTTTTTGGGCGAATGTCGTTTCGGGGGTTTTTCATCCCGGGCAGCCAATATTTTTTTTCAAAAACGCACGTCGCCCGATTTTATCGTTAGTCCCCTCCCCTCGTTTGGGCAAGGTCCACTGTATTACAATATACGAAAACTGCTGATAAACATTTAAAAATTACCCGAAATGTAAAATGGTGCAAAGGGGACATTAAAACAATACAAAGATTTTGACACAAACCCCCTACCCTTAAAGTATGCTCCTCACTTAGCAACAAATCTTTTTCTAGCGTGTCTTGAACAGAACTCCTTGTTAACCCTTTTAGGGTTTTTTAGCCATACTATACGGCTTACACCCAGGTTTTTAACTAGACGCCTAAATTCACGCCCCAATCAGGGGAGAAAGCTGGTACCACATATGAAAGAATGGGGCTATGTTCAGTGTGCACAGTATAAAAAAAATCTTGCAGCACACAGTGCATAAAGAGAAAAAAAAAAATCTGACCGTTTTTTTTTGGGAAAAAACAGCGACTTGCCTGTAAATTTTTGTATGGTATTTTTTTTTTTCTAGTTTCTTGGGCTCATTTTATAGAAAGGAAGAAATTACAGAAATTTTAAAGATTTTGACTGGTTTTTTCAATGAAAAGTACCTTGAAATTGAGCTCAAAATAGCAGAAATGTTCGATTTTTACCAAAGTTCAAAAGTAAACAAATCATGCCAAGCATCCAATACACGTCAACTGGTGAGTCCAATATTCTTTTACAAGTGCGCCAATATTATTTATACCATTTTTTACACTAATGCAATAGTCTGCATAACAGTAAATCTTCTATTTTTTGTGAGAATAAAAATTCAAAGTGGAAAGCAAAAGAATGTAAGAGGGGCCTTGAGACGTGACTAATGAACAGAGGAAATGTCGTTTTAGTGCCAGGAATGTCTTTCTTGTTTATTCTGGACCCTATTTGGAAATTGGCATCTTTTGAAATTTGTGTGAAATTGGCAAAATTGCTAAATTCTCACCACTGTACTGGATAGTTGAAATTGGTAAATGGGTGGTTTCTTGCACTCATTCGATAGAAAAAATGGAGTTCTAGCGAAATATTCATGTTTTTTGTCGACTAGTACAGTGGAATTGGCCGAAAATGGGGCTCAAAGTGGGCAAAATTGCCGATGCGTAAACATCGCCGAGACCGCTAACTTCGTGAGATCATAATTCCATAAGTTTTCCATCAAATTTCATACTTTTGGTGTCATTATGATCGGGAAAAGATTCTCTATCTTTTCCTAAGAATTTTTTTTTTTTTTTAAATTTGGCCGACCCTGAGAGCGAGTCTCGGAGAGGGCCTGTCGACCCTCAAAGGGTTAAGTGAGGAGAGGCTGTACTTCCCATCTATGGGAGTCAAGTCTGGCCTGCTGGTTTCCCTGAATCCCTTCATAAATGTTACCTTGCTTACATTCCAACAGCATTTCAAGTCCTAAACACCATCTGTCTTCATTTGCTCCTATCTAACACACTCACGCATGTCTGCTGGAAGTCCAAGCCCTTCGCACACAAAACCTCTGTTATCCCCTCCCTCCAACCTTTCCTAGGTTAACTTCTACCCCACCTTCCATCCACTACAGATTTATACACTTGAAGTCATTCTATTACGTTCCTTCCCCTCTACATGTCCAAACCATCTCAATAACCCCTCCTTAGCCCTCTGGATAATAGTTTTGATAATCCCGCACCTCCTCCTAATTTCCAAACCATGGATTCTCTGCATTATATTCACATCACACATTGCCCTCAGACACGACATCTCCACTGCATCCAGCCTTCTCGTTGTTGCAACATTCACCACACATGCCTCATACCCATACAAGAGCATTGGCATAATTATACTCTCAGACATTCCCCTCTTTGCTTTCATGAATAGAGAGATCTTATATCATTAAAACAAAAACACATCTAAGTGGTACAGTAAATCATGCATGACATAATTACCTTTTTAATTAACAGTGAATGTTATAAACATATATTACCTGCTGTCACAGCTGGTGTGTGTCTGGAAGCTTGTGTAATTTGCTGCTCAGCTTTGCTTGTGTTGGCTTCATAAATCACAGGATTTCCAAGTGTGGCTCCAACTTTATCGCCTGGGCATTTAACCCTCAAATCATAAATTAAAATTGCCTTAAAAAAAAAAAAAGTTAACCACCATAAGTTAAAAATCCACTTCTGAAGTTACTATAATTATTTGTTGTAAATGTCTAAGAATATTAAAGCTAAAATAATTCACATTAAAATGGTTTTTGAAATTTAATAAGGTAAAAGTTCACAAAAAAGCTATTAATCCTTGCATTGTTGGAACACCAAAATTAAATGCTGACAATCTCGGGATTTAAAAAAAGATTTAAAATAAAGTTTTTCTGGTAGTAATAAGAGAAAGGCACAAAGTTAGACAGCAGCAATTCAGGGCAGTACTACCATCTTGCCAAATGAATATGAAATGGAAGCCTGTAACTGTTTTACTGAATGTTAAGATTGCTCATGTCTTGTCTCTCTCTCATAAATGTACATGTACATGTATACACACCCATCTGAGTTTTCTCCTATTTATTTAACCCTTATTATGCCTTTCCTGATCTGTTCTGTAGTACTACAGCTATGAGTTCAGGGTCCATGCTGCAGTACATTAGACCGTTATATTACAGGGTAGTTATGTTCCTGAAAATGCTGTGTTAGGTAAAACCCCGTTAGATAAACTGAAGAACTTGAGAGAAAATTAGGGTTACATTCCGAGGAGCCGCCAAAAAGCTAAAGAACTTTTTTTAGACCAACAGATCTTACAAAAATAAAAGTGATTGTGAAATTGTAGTTCAATGTCATGATATATTATGTTTTTACTACTTACAACTACAAATGCGACAGAAATAATAGTATTTCTTGCCTTAAATTGTGGGTAATGGTGTTTATGGATGATTGTGAAGAGAGTGGAGATGCATGATTTGGCCTTACTGGGCTGAGGTGGATGGTTGTTGGTTGTCAGCAGAAGTGGATGGTAGAAGTTCTGGTACTAAAGTCAATGGTTCTATTTGAGTGTGCATAAATTCTGTAATGGAGTCTCAGGCTCTTTTACCCTGAAGTACATAATACAGCTGACAGTAAGGCATCATCAGCTGGTTTAGACCCTGTTTCAACATACTGCTTCTAGATTTGTCAGGGTCCTCTTCAGCGAAAAAGTCTGCTATTTTAGCAGCAACAAGGAATTGCTCATGTAACTGCTGCAATGTTAACTGTTTTTCTTCAGGCTCTCCTTCATCATCTTCTGTTATGTGGCTCCCTTGTATCTGTGCATCAAGCTCTGCCAACATTTCCTCTGGACTCCTGTCTTCATCATCATCATCATCTTTTAAGAGTTCATACACATCTTCTTCATTCATATCTTCAAAACCTTGTAATCTCCTTGCCAGCTGAACAATTTCCTGAACCCGACTCTCAAGCAAGGAAAAACCAATCAAAGAATTAACTACAGAAGGCCATAATTTTCCCCAGCCTGCATTTAATGTTGATTGGGGCACTTCATTCCATGCACTTCTAGCATAGCTGATGGAATCTCCAATGTTAAATTTATTCCAGAAACTTGGTACTGCCAGGCTGGAGTCAAAATCAAGTGATGCCACTAGTTTTTCATAACTTTTTTTTGTGTAGTTACACTTGAATGACTTAACTCCCCAATCCAGTGATTGTATCAACCCCTTAACCCTTTCAGGGTTTTTGATGTACTAGTACATCTTACATGCCAGGGTTGACGTAGTAGTACGCATAAATTATAGTGTCCTCAAATCAAACAGGAAAAGGCTGGTAGGACTAGATGGGAGAGAATGGGTCTCCATGGTCAGTGTGCATGGTACAAAAAACATCGTGGACCCAGTGGTGCATTGTGGGAAAGCCATTTTATTACACCTTGTTCACCATGTCTGACGCCAAGAAACTCCTCACTCCTCTGCTAATTGGGGCTCTTTTGTTCCCAAGTGACAGTTCAAACACAGATGGAAGTGTCAGTGAAGATGAATTTCATGGTTTTGAGGAGTTTGTGACTGAAAGCAATGCCCAGGAAACCAGAAAGAAGGAAGGAAGGAAGGAAGGAAGGAAGGAAGGAAGGAAGGAAGGGAGGAAGAAAGGAGAGATGAGAGGAAGGAAGGAAGAAAGAGATGAGGGTAAGGAAGGAATAAAGGAAGAGATGAGAGTAAGAAAGTAAGGAAAAAAGGAGACCATCAACATAGGATAACCCACAAAATTCAGACAGTGATTTATTTCCATGTGGGTTGGTGGGGTGGGGAGGAAGGGATGGGTGTTGACAGGCAGTGAGGGTGGTGAGTGATGCTGTGATTTGTCACTGTGATACTAATTATGCTGGTGACTCGGCATATTTACAAGTCCACCCCCACACAACAACTACAAGCTTTACAGAAGCTGTAGCAGTTCTGGGAAATGTCCAGTGACTTTATATGTGTATATATATATGATAGAAAAATAACAATAAACATTTTTTATTGTTGGTTTGTGTAAACACGTTTTGTAAACAATATAATGACTGTGCAGTTATTGTGTAGCATACAAGTGAATATACATTCCATATACCTTATATTGGTTTCACAGGCCATAAAAGTTACTTGAGGGAAGAAAGAAAGGAAGGAAGAAGTACGGAAGGAAGGAGGGAAGGTAGGTAGGGAGGAAGGAAAGAGACACAGCATCACGAGCCAGCAATGTCCTAAATACACCTACCATCCGACTTACGACCTGCTCGACTTACGACCACTCGACTTACAACCTTATTTTTTATGCCAAATTTCTGGGAAATAAACAACTATTTGTGTTGTACACAGTGTTTATCCTAAACCTTACAGTATAAAATACAGTACTAACAGCATAAAAAGTAAAGTAAAATATGAAATACCAAAATAAAACAATAAAATAAAGTCATTACAAAAATGTGATGTTGATATTCAGTAGTAAAGTTCGACTTACATCCATTACGACTTACGACCAGTTTCTCAGAACCGAACTCGGTCGTAAGTCAGATGGTAGGTGTACTTCTAAAAGTGTAACAGTTCTTAACTACATCAGGTCCTTAAGCAAACACTATGATGACCTCCTGGCACTCCTTGGTTCCTTAACCCTTTGACTGTTTCAGTTGTATATATACATCTTACGAGCCACCGTGTTTGATGTATATACTATATACTCAAAAATTCTAGCGGCTTCAAATCAAGCAGGAGAAAGCTGGTAGGCCCACATGTGAGAGAATGGGTCTGTGTGCACCGTATAAAAAAAATCCTGTAGCACTCAGTGCATAATGAGAAAACAAAAACTCCGACCACTTTTTTGGATTAAAATGGTGACTTTGTGGTGTATTTTCGTATAGTATTTATGATTGTATTCTTGTTTTCGTGGTCTCATTTGATAGAATGGAAAACATTTCATAGAATTAAAGGTGATTCTGATTGGTTTTGCTATGAAAAGAACCTTGAAATGAAGCTCAAAGTAGAGGAAATGTTTGATTTTTGCCAATGTTCAAAAGTAAACAAATGATGTCATTGTCAAATAAATGTCCAAGTAGCCATTCTAATATGCAGTCACAAATGAGTTGACATTATTTATACAATTATTACAGTATTGCAGTAGTCTGCATAACAGTAAATCTTCTATTTTTTTTTTTTTTAATAAAAATTCAAAATAGAAAGCAAGAGTAATATCAGAGGGGCCTGGAGATGTGACTGATGAACAAAGGAAATGTTATTTTAGAGCCAGGAATGTCTGCATTGTTAATTCTGGACCCTATCTTGGAATTGCAATATTTTTTAATTTGCATGTAATTTTCCAAATTGCAAATTTCTGATCACGTTATTAGGCAGTTGCAATAGGTAAATGGGGAGATTCTTGTACTTAATTGATAGAACAAATGGAGTTCTAAAGAAATAGCTATGAGTTTGGGTGACTGGAACAAAGGAATTAGCCGGAAATAGGGCTCAAAGTGGGCAAAATAGCCAATTCGTAAATATCGCCGAGGTCGCTAACTTCGCAAGAGCGTAATTCTGTAAGTTTTCCATCAATTTTCGTTCTTTTGGTGTCATTACCACCAGGAAAAGATTCTGTATCGTTTCACAAGAATCTTTTTTTTTTTTTCAAAAATTTGGGGTTTCGACAGTCAAGGGGTTAAAGACACCCTTCTCATGTACAGTGGTCCCTCGTTTTTCGTAATTAATCCATTCCTGGAGCCGTTACTATAAACGAAATTTACGATTTACGAATAAATTTTCCCCATAACAAATAATGTAAATACAATTAATCCGTTCCTGACACCCAGAAGTATTAAAACAAAAAACAATTTAACATGAAATATACATGTAGTACATAAACAATACAATGGGAAATGATGAATGAAACATTAACAGCATAACACTTACCTTTATTGGAGATTCTTCTTAGTGTATGGGAGGCTGGAAGAGGAGAGAGAGTGGATTGTTTACAGTTTGGAAGGGAAATCCCCTTCCATCAACACCTCAGGTACCATTTGCTTTTCTGGGGTTGCTTCTCTTCTCTGTTTCTTAATGCCACTAGGACCACCTTGAGAGTCACTGGAGTCCTGTCTCACAAAATAACTGTGGAGAGAGCTCTGTTTCTGGCGTCTCTTTAACACTTCCCTAAAATGGCCCAAGACTTTGTCACTGTACATGTTGCCAACCTGGCTTGCAACAACCTTGTTAGGGATATGTTTCCCCATAAAGCTTTCCATCTTACCCCACATAGTAAAAATCTCTTTAATTTCTGATGAAGGAACCTACTTCCATCTCTCTTCCTTCTCCTCTGCAGCAAGATTCTGAGCTGCGAAGTGTTGCTCCTCCTGCTGAAGCTCTTGCAGCTCCTCAGTGGTGAGCTCTTCATTGTGGTCTTCCACCAATTCTTCCACATCCTCCAAACTCACATCCAACCCCATGGAACTCCCCAGTGCCACAATTGATTTTACAACAGACATAGACTCATTAGGGTCAGTCCCAAATCCTTCAAAATCCCTCTTGTCGACACAATCTGGCCACAATTTTCTCCAGGCAGAGTTCAAAGTCCTGGTAGTCACTCCCTCCCAAGCCATACCTATAAGGGTTATGCAGTGGAGGATGCTGAAGTGTTCT